TCTTGCCATAGAAAAAAATTGTATGAAAAAAGTATATAAAGAGACTATCTGTCTTGGCTGGTCACCACATTCAACTAAGCAATATTATTACAATTTCTTAACAATACTAATAACACATCATTATATAGGCATGGCTATTCTTAGCAGAAGACAGTGAAAACAAACTGCTTTGTTTACAATATTCACAACACTGAAGTATGCCCTTAGAGGAGCAGTACAAATGTCAAATATGCTGCTGAGCTCATCAAAATCTGAAAAAGTTATCCAAAGCACAGACAAACCTTCAGGAAGTCTTTGAGAATGCAAGTGAAATTCCAATACAGCTGTTTCCTCCAAATTCTGCTCTTCTGGAAATGCGTTCCTTCTTAAACTGTAACAAGGTCTCCGTTAGAGTTAGGTCTGTCAAATGAGAATGTTCCTGTGATCTGTGAGTCACTGCGTGCAAGGACCTTTAAGGTAAAATTGTATACAGTTAATCTACCTGGCACTTCAAGCACAGATTCTAGACCTCAAGGACTCGAGTGCTAACCTTGGGTTGTTGCCATTCTTTTCAGTTCATCTTTAATAGCACAGTGCCTTGAGCTATTATGATAATTTATTTTCTGGAAGCAACTGCATATTTTAGATTAACATAAAAATTCAAATGATAGGTGTATATATTCAATGTAGTATTTATTAAGGAAGGAAAATAGATGAAGCAAACCTTTTTTCTATCTCTTATGAAGGTGAATCCTGAAAAACTTCAGTATTATTCTCAAGAAAATCAACTACAAAGGTCAGGAAGTGGCACAGTATGTGTTCAGCCAGTTAAATGCTACATATTATTTTAGCAAACATTTCTGCTGGCTGTTGTTAACCTCAGGCAATAGAGATACATGGTTTGCAGAGGAGTAAAGAGCAACCAGGGAATCTGTTTATTCATTCCCATAAAAGCTTTTCTTAACTGATACGCAGAGTTACTATTGCAGAACTAATTATAAACCAAGTACATTTTAAGTGGCACCTTTGCTGGTTGATTTAGTTTTATTTCTGAAATCTGCATTACTAACACGCAACTATTATTTGGTTCATAAATGACATACAAAATTAGTAGTACTATTAATCTAAAACTATGCTTGACTTCAACAATTTTCAGAGAATAAAGGAACTTTACAAACTCTTCTCTTTGGGGAAATACTTTTAAAACTCAGTAACTAACATATGGTGTAAGAATATTCAGTTCAAAGGAAGAAACAAAACCAGACAGAAAACATGGACTGGTTAATATTTGTATGACTATAAGCAGTGTTCCTCCAGTATGGTAGAGATTCATCTCAACATGTCCTTCAACGCGGCACTAGTATTTTGTAATGACTTCATGCAAGTCCTTTGTGATCTCAAATGTCTCTGTCCATTATGATCATAAACATCTCTGCCCATTGCTCTTAAGAAGATATGCTCCATGATACTGCACTTGTCAGAGGGTTTTTCTGTTTCTAGAAATAATTTGTTTCTCCTGTCAGGCCCAGCATGCCATTTTTCTCAAAGAGCCTCTTTTGGGTGGCCATCTGGAAGCATCACCTCAGTGCGAAACAGACAGGCTCTGGCTTTGTGTTGGCTCACTTGCCTGTGTTGGCTCACTTGCCTGTATTGGCTACTGCCTTAAAGACAGCATTACATTTTATTCCTGGACTACAGAGAATTGTAACTAGGTTTGCAGACGTGAAATTTTGATCGCTAAATTCTGGGCCTATTGACATTTGTGACAAGTCTCAGAGAAAGACCCAAGAAAAAAAGGATAAAGATGCAGAGGAAGGAATCAGCTAAGGACAAGCAGAGATAATGATCCAGGACTCCAAACTGAGTAAGTGCATGGAAATGTAATGTTGTAATGCAGCATTGAGAGCACTCTCTCATGTAGTGTTCTGGATGAAGAATTGGAAAACCCACCAGATTTTAAAGGAAGAAATGAGCTGAAGAGCAATCAAAAGCCAAAGCCAAGGTACTAAAAGCAGGCATACCCAAACTATGGAGAAATTAGATGTCAAGAGTTCTGATATGTGTGTCTTTCTAAAGTCAGACAACATTACAGAGAGAGTAAGAAACGGGGAAAAGTGGAATCATCTTCCCTGTATCTAAGATAGCTGGGAGGATCAATGAGAAAAAAAGAAAATTGACTTACTTTAATTAATACTATAGTTTTTTCCTCCCCATCTTTATAATTAAAATGTAAAATATGGCTACACATTTTCCTTGCCATGTATGGTGCTTAGATATAAATCATCTATGGCCTTGTGACTACACTTCAGGGAAACTAATGACATGAAAGTCTGCTGAAAGGCACCATTTATAAGAAAGATCATCCTGGTGAAAGGAATACTAAAATTGTTTCTAGTTTAATGTTATAACTTCTATGCCTCTTCATGTTACTATGCTTTAGGAACATGTATGATTATCACTAGGTGTAAGAATCATGGGTCATTCAGTTTCCCAAGTGCATCCCTGGAGAACAGTCTCAAATGAAGACATGTGAGAGTTCCCAGATTGCCTGCTGGAGCTGGAGAGCCTGATTCAAGGAATTCCTGGATAAATTATCAGCTTTCCTGAAGAGGATTTAAATATTGTGCTTCAGAGATCAGCTGGAGTTACTCTGGTGTAAATTGAGGGCAGTCCAACATGCTGGGGTTATGAGTTGAAAGGCAGATTAAGAAATACTATTGTATTTTTTTTAATAGCTCATCTATCTAATTTAGTAACTGAAAAAGTTAGCACTGTCACCATAATTATCACCAGCTAAAACTATTGCATCTACAGTAAGTGTTGAGAAAGACCTGGTCATCAACAAGTAGGGTAGCATCCAAGGGTGAAATATTCCTTCTTGTAGGGATAAGAAGTAACCTTTGGTTTCATTTCACAGACGCAGGCCTGTCTGTGAAGGGAAGAACAGAAGCATAGAGGCTTTCACATTTGCAGTAATGTACCTTTTCACCAGGTACCTTACTGCAAATCTCTTAGACTTCAAAAAATTAAAAATTACTTCGAAAAAGCAGAGCTGGTTTTCAGTTATTCCAAACAGATGGCTTAAGGGGAAAGATGCAACTTTTACTGCTGACAACAGATGTTTAGAAGTTGACTGATCTGAACATGGAAAGGAGAAAACAAATTTTTCTCTTCATTTAATTGTGCAATGTAAGCTAAACATTCTTCATGAAATTACTATCAAAATGCAATAAGAGCAAATATAGGTCTGGTTTTGCCATGCATATTTCTAAGTCAGTATGTGTCATTGTAGGAAGTGTGGAGAATGGAACCCTTAGAAAAATCAGTGATTGTTCTTTCTTCCACGGTCCTTTGCTGATGTTATTCCTTCATAATAACTGTGCTGCCGTAGGAGCTAATGGAAATTCTGCTACAGATTTAAACCAGAATATATCAAGCTCTTTGGGTTATAATGAAGGAAGATATGTTGAAATTTTGTAAGCTACTTCCGCCTTCTAAACAGGAAGAATTCCTATTTAAATTAGCCATTTATTGGTTACAGTGAATTCTTTCAAAAAATATGTCACAGAAATGCATTTTTTTTCCATAAAGGAAGACTAAGATGTATATTTAAAACATAATGGAAACATTAAAACTGACTGCTGTATTTAGTTTAGCTGCTTAACTTCTCTTGGCTAAATCTCAGCGAAGAGGGAGATTTTTCTTCAATGACTATATGATTTTCTTAAAAAGAGGGCTTTCAATAAGCAAAGATAAGATTCTAAATAGAGGTTATCTGTTACAAGGGAAGCTAGATACTTAATGCAGTTCCTGCATATCGGAACCATGGGTTTGTATTGAACATTCCACAGAAATACACATCATGTGTTTAAATGCCGTTGCTACTGGGTTTCCTCCATAACCCATCCCTAACCCTGGCCAAGGTCTGGGTGCTGTTGAGCATTTCTCAGGGAGGTTTGTGCCACCTAGTGGAAAATGCCCAGCTGGCACCCACCACATCGACACCCAAACCTCTTGTCTACAGCCTCGGGGTGCAACACCTGTATCTAACCCCTTAGAGAAAAAAGCCCGACAACAGACATATTCACTTCCTGTAGCATTGCTTCTTACAAGTCCCTTTTCTGCTTAATATATTGCAGAATATTGCCTCTAATTTATCCTTAACTGTATTGGCTGTTTCTTATTGACCTTCCTTAATTTCCCTGAATGTTCAATTGTAGTAAATGAAACACTTCTGGAAGACATCAAGAACTCTCACATCATAGGGATAGATTTAACATACAGAAACAAAACTACCCTTATATTTTAGTTTCTTCATTTAATGGACACTATGTTCTCCTCTCCCAAGTAACAAGTTATAACACAAGAGGAAATGGCCTCAAGCTGCTCCAGGGGAGGCTGAGATAAGATTTTAGAAACATTTCTTTGCTGAAAGGCTGAGCAGGCATTGGAACAGGCTGCCCAGGGAAGCGGTGGAATCACTGTCCCTGGAAGTGTTCAAAAACAGTGTACATGCCTTCAGTGACATGGTTTAGTGGTGGACTTGGCAGTCCTTGGGTAATGGTTGGACTTGATCTTAAAGGTCTTTTTCAACCTCATTGATTCTGTGATTCTATGTACTATAGCTTCCCGTAAGTGCTACCCCTCATGCTCTGCCCCCTGCACGAGTCTTAATGGCACAAGGGCCTGCTGCTGCAGAGTCCAAAGAAGGCAGTTTTATGCCAAATTCATGCCAAAAATATGCTTATTTATTTATTTATTCCCTAACTGCATCTACGGTGTTATAGAGCCAGAGGAGGAGCTGGGACCGGTTGATCAATCGGTCCCTCTCCCAGCCTGAGCTCCTCGGGTTATCAGATGAGACTGGGGGGCAGGCAGCCGGCACCCCACCAAAAGCCGTGCCCGCGGGGGGCCGCCCCGTCGCAGGGCTGCGGCGAGCAGAGCGGCGGGCGCCGACTACATTTCCCAGGTGCCTGTGGGGCGGACGGCACAGCGCGACCACCGCGTTTTCCCGCCTCTTCCGCGGGGGCTGCTGGGAGTTGTAGTAGGGGTAGCATGGCGTCAAAGATCCACGTTGTACTTCGGCCGGTGAAGAGTATTGTGGTCCGCTTCTGCCCCTTCGAGTCCAACGTGGAGAGCACGAGGTGAGGGGGCTGCAGGGGCCGCGTCGGCGCCGGCCCCGCGGCAGCCTGGGCGTGCTCGGACCTGCGCCCAGCGGGGAAGCCTTGGCCGGGCTCCCCAGTGTGTAAAGGCCCGGTGCCCTTCTTGCTCCCGCGGGTTCTGTGCGCCTCACGGCAGGGGTGAGCGACGCACTTTTTGCCTTTTTTTATTTGGGGAAGAGGAGTAGAGGCTGGGTTTTATGCACCAGACCTTGCCCCAAGGCCCGGGCACGGCGACGGGCAGAGGCCTGCTGCCTCTCTGCCCGTGGAAGCATTGAAGGATCCCGGAGGGCAGGGAGAGCGGCCGCCTCGGCCGGCTGCTGCCGGGGTCGCTGCAGTGGCAGCTGCAAAACGAAGTTTCTCTCTCTCCACAGTACCTGAAAGGAGCGTGGAGAGAGAAGCTGGCTGGTCTCTTCTGCCAAGTAACAAGTGATAGGACAAGAGGAAACAGCCTGAGCTGCACTAGGGAGGTTTAGATTAGGTATTGTGAAAAATTTCTTCACAGAGAGGGTGCTGGGGCATTGGAAGGGGCTGCCCAGGGCAGTCATGGAATCACCATCCCTGGAAGTGTTCAAAAAACATGTAGATGAGGCCCTTAGTGACATGGTTTAGTGGTGGGCTTGGCAGTCTTGGGGTGAAAGTTGAACTTGATCTTAAAGCTTGTCTTTTCCAACCTAGCTGATTCTGTGATTCTATGAAGCCATTAGAACTGCTGTCACTGCAGTGCCCTGTAACTTGCTGTCATTGTAGCCACCAAAAGTAAGAAGACATTGTGGGGGTAAATAATGAGGGAAAGGGCAGCATCTGTTGTGCCCTCTCTGGAGAAAAATCTCCTTTTCCCAAGGACATGCGTCTGCTGTACTTTAACTTTCATGCTTATGGTCTTTGAAGGCTTGAATTTATCACAGCTTTGTGGCTTAGTCGAGGCAGAGCCTTCACATTTCAGAATGAGAAGGTGCTCTGTCTGTCTTAGGGGCTCATTTATACCAGGATGCACAGAGAATTCATTCTGTGCTGACTTGACCAGGATCTCTGTGCCTGAGCAGAGACCCTGGCATGTAGGCATGTGTGTTTAGCTTTACCAGCCTACCCAGGTAGGTGTCCCGTTCAGTTGCTTGGTCTGTAGATGAGGGTCTGTAATCACTAGTCCAGATGCTGGTAATGGGAGAGAAAGAGGGCACAGCTGCTGCTCTAACATGGTAATTAACTATTGGAGAAATCTAAGTTACTGTGCTCCTTGAGTGACGCAAGTTCTGCACCAAACAATTGTAAAATGTCATTTTGCAATAGCTTTACACACCTACTTTTGAAATAAACTTAGTAACACAACTTAGCCTAGAACGTCTTTAAGCACCCAGAATGTCAAGTACCTGTCATGCATTTCAGAAATCTGCAGGAGACTGGTGATGTTACATAAATAAATACTGGGTCAAACCGAAACAATAAAACATTGGCAAGCAACCGGTGTCTTAAGAAAAATGAAAATTGCTGATTTTTCTTTTATTATTATTACTAACCCAGCTGAAACACAAGAACTGCATACACTGAATTTTTGCAAAATTCTTTGATATGTGTTTTACCTGTTAGCCTATAAGGACTATCCATTTAGATTTTTAACAGTGATTATCCCACAAGAAGTCTGTCTGAAATTGTTGAATCAAATCCTATTTTGTTTATACTTTTGTTGCCAGCAATATCAAGATACTCAAATTAGTTTAGAAATAGACTTTCTATAATTTCTATCTACAACATACCTAATATATTTTAAAATATATTTTCAGAAACTTTCTTGGATGTATAAACCATAAAAGAATCCAGGCCACTAATAAAAACTGTGAAGTGACTGCTGATGTGAGACATGATGGATCCGAACCTCTTGTAGATGTTATGTTTGGTAAGGAGCTCATTTTTAATCTTGGCCAAAAAAAGACCTTCGTGGTTTGTGTTGTTACGATGTTATTGTCTTCTCTATGATTTTCCTTTTTTTTTTTTCAACTGTGCTTACTTTTTTTTTTGTTCTGGTCCATAGCTAGATGTTGTGCAGCAGGGAGGGGAAAAAAAGGAACTCATAACTAGGCTGAGAAAGTTGGGGCTGTTCAGCCTGGAGAAGAGAAGGCTGCTTGGAGACCTCATGGCAGCCTTCCAGTATCTGAAGGGGGGCTATAGGGATGCTGGGGAGGGACTCTTCATTAGGGATTGTAAAGATAAGACAAGGGATAATGGGTTCAAACTTAAACAGGGGAAGTTTAGATTTGGTATAAGGAAGAATTTCTTTACTTTGAGGGTGGTGAGGCACTGGAATGGGTTGCCCAGGGAGGTTGTGAATGCTCCATCCCTCGCGGTGCTCAAGGCCAGGTTGGACAGAGCCTTGGGTGACATGGTTTAGTGTGAGGTGTCCCTGCCCATGGCAGGGGGGTTGGAACTAGATGATCTTAAGGTCCTTTCCAATCCTAACTATTCTATGATTCTGTAACAACTTGATGTCTAGTAAATGTTTATATATATCCTTTTACTATAGTTAGATTTGGTGGATCTTAGATCAAAGAACTGACTTAACTTTAGGGTTGAGTCAGCTTTTGTAGTGACATACTTCTGTGACCTTGCAGTCAGGTACAATTCTTGAAGTTAAGTGTAGCTCCATTTTGATGTAAGAATCTGTTCACTCTGAAATTTCTTCTGTTATCCATGGTGGAGGCATCTCCATCTTGAGAGCAGAAAGGCTGAATACCTTCAGTTGCTTATGCAATTGAATATCTTACTATGCAGTTTGAAGGAACTGCTTATATGGATAAAACCATACATGTGCAGATGGGACATGCAGAATGAGGTCAACTGATGTACGACAAATTTCTTGATTTCCTTTGAGGGTATAGTGAGCCCGCAGGGAATTGATGGTGAAAATTTCATCAGACCTGGAAGCAGCCCAGATTCTAGGCTGTGAACAGATGGCTCTAATCTGCTTTTGTCCTTTTCTCTGGCTGCATCTTCTTTCCTGCTGTGCTGTAATGGACAAATATGTCATGTAGCCCATTAAAGTTTTCATTATTATTGATCATTGATACCTGTTTTTCTTTAAACTTCCATCTATTTAGTGAATCAGTAGATATGTCAAGAATGTTAAATGTACTTAATTTTGCTTGGGAAAGTCTGGTTATTTCAGACATGAAATATGTTGACAATGTGTTTCTCCCCCCTCTGTGCCTCTGTCTTTCCCATGCCTGTCTCTAACTGTGATGTATAAGGACTTCAGCAGTAAAGCTCAGTGTTTTTCACAGCGTAAGACTAAACCAGTTTATTTCACTAATCCAAGAGCTACAGCTCTGAATTCTTCATTTTATGAGAGCTGATTACTTAACAAGTAAAGAGTTTGCAGCCCTTGAAGATGACAAACATGGGGCTGGAACTTGAATGCCGTACATGTTATTGCAGTATATGGGTTTGAGTATGGCTTTTGTATTTGCAAATCTTGGAAAAAAAATAATTAACTTAGGTATAGTGCTTAACTTCTACTGCCTCCTCCCTATTTTAAAATAATGCCTTTCAGAATTTTAGAAATCCTAGTCCTCCTTTTGTTCTTTGTTTTTTGTTTTTTTAACATTACAACCACCAGATTGTGTAAACCAGTTCATTGTTTTGGCTAAAGAATTAAACGGGCCATAGACAACATGCTGCTAAAATGCTGAGCCATGTGTGGAAATTACGCCTTCCGGTGCCTTCTGTGCCTTCTGTCAGATGATTTTGAGGGCATAGTATGAGCCATTCTTACCAAATATGTGTTCTTACTATAGGTATACCTAGACAAATGTTTCAGATTTTTCAATAATGCACTACAGAAATGAAAATTTCATGTGTCCTATGTTCAGTTTAATATATTGGTTTGTGGGTGAGGCATAATCAAATTCCTTGGTAAGTGGAGTACTTTCTAATCAGACAAAAGGAGTGGGGTGTTTGGATTTATATATACAAAACAGAACTGCACACTTGTAATTGTGATTTAGATTTTGTAACTTCTTAAATTTTTTCCCTTTACAGTTGATGGAGATCGATTGATAATGAAGGGAGCCAACCTGACGACAGCAGAAATGTTAACAGCATTGGGGACCAGGTGTAATGCAAAAGAGATTAAGGAAGAACAGAAAAGCAAGAAGAAGAGCCCCTAAAGAACAGAAAAACAACTGCGTTTACATTTACATGTTGAAAACAGCAGGCTGCACAGAAGGCTTTTATCCTGTGCAACAAAATCTGCAAGAGAGAAATGTCCAAACATTGACCAGTTTAACGTGCAGCAGAACAAACTGTTTAAAGCACAGTGGATCAGCAAGTCTTCTAGCACCAGTGGGTCAGTGTGTCTTAATATATATGAATGGATCTTTCTAAGCAGCTGCCTCTGTCATCTGCATGTCGGACTAATATCGCATGTATTTGCATATAAATGTGAATAATGCACATTACCTATTAAATTAATATTACAGTGAAAACAGGTCTCTTTGGGCATTATTTCCTCAAAATTTCTGTACAGTGAATGCAGAATATTATCAGACTGGTTATTATTTTTGGAAATTATTAAATACAAATGTTTGAAGGCAACTTTGAAAGTATTTATCATAGCTGAGGGACACCAAGCTGCACGTACAGAGTAGATTTTGTAATACTGTGTTTGTAATACATATGTTGCGAAGTCCCTGCCGTTTTCTTCCTCTCTTTTTTAAGAAAGTCTGGGATCTGCTAAATTTAGTTCCTCAGTTAATGTAACCAGGTAGTGGGGCTATGAACACACAGTAGAGCTACTTGGCCTGCATAAAAGTAGCAAAGTTTAGCTCAAAGCGAAAGGTAGGTTGGTTTTGTTGTTTGGTTGTTTTGGGGTTTTTTTTTTTTGATAATTGGAGAAAAGGGCTATCTTTGACGTTCAGGTTTGTAATATTTTGGTCACTTCGGGGAGATTCTTTAATCTTTTATAAAGATCAAAGGGAAAGCTTTATTTGGTGTTTATAGCCCTATGCCCAACCCTGTTATTTATTAAAGTAAATGCTTGGGTGTCACATCTGTGTTGCAAAGCCCTGTGGGTTTGGGAGGGTTGATGTGTCCTCAGACCGTGCAGATGAAGGTGTCAACTGCACACGTATTATATGTGCATCAGTTTTGTTGTAGTTCAATTCACAATGAAAATGTAATTCAAGTTCCAGTTTTGAGAATTGCAGATGCAGTGCTATTGAGAGGCATTCATTCTACCTGTTGTTAATCAGATGCCTGACTTCTATAAATTGTAGTATGTATATTTCCAAAGGGGGTACAAATCTGAAATCAGGTTTACCTTTTGCCAAGATTTGTAAATGGATGCTGTCCTTTCTGAAAGCAGCATTGTTTTAAATAGCACTGTCAAGGCAGTTCATTGCAGTGTCTTCAACAGGATGCTGAAGTCAAAGCAACACGTTAGAGAAGCAGAGCTGTGCTAAAGACATTTGATGATACTTTATGCTGGCCTCCTCTGTGTGTTCGCAACAAACAGAAGAGAGATCAGATGATTGAGGTAGATGGGTCAATGAAGTTTTCATGTGGGAACAACAGATGTGAGTGGCTTGGTTTGGGATGAACACCCTCTTTGCAGTCTGTTATCCTTCTATTATATTAGGCCACCAACTCTTCCAAGTGGTTTCGGAGTGCAGAGCTCCTGAACCTGCTACTGATCTCCCTTCTAGTGGAGGAGTTGCAAGAGCATCTGAAACAGAAGATTTTAAATCCTGTCAAGCTGGAGGAGTATTCTAGAAAGTATACCAAACAGAAATAAGGTGGTTCAAAGGACAGTTTGGTGGTTTGTTTTTTTTTTCCTCAGTTTAAAAGAATGTCATATTGCATGGCTTTAGTTGAAGTAGCCTTACAGGGAACGTGAGAAGCGTTCAAGAATTACTGCAGAATTACACCTTCCCTGGTTAATGATGTACTCATATGCTGAAAAGTCCTCTTACTGTAATATATCAGTGATCTTTGTGACTTTTTTCTTTTGACAGTTTTTACAGTGATACCAGTATGTAAGACTTAGTTTTTAATGTGAACCACTTACATCCATCTTAAATAGCCACTTGTAAGTACCTAAAGAGCAAAACAGGGATTAAGCAATATTAAGTGTTTATAGTGTATAGCAATAATAAGTTTCTGTAGCCCACGACTGGGATTTCTATTTAAGAAGAAAAAAGGCAGAAAAATAAGATCCCAGTTCAGGCTTTTTATAGCCAAAATGAGTCCTCTCCACTGTTCAGGAAAGGTGTTGTTTTGTTCTTTTTTCTTTACTCCTGCTCTGTAAAGACAAGCTCTTGCTCCGTGCTTTCACTTTAACCCAGAGATGCCCAGTCTTTTTGCTTGGGTTAGGGCGAAAGGCCTGTAATGTAGCTGTCGAGAGACGACTGACAATTCAGTGGACACTGATGCTGCTTTTCCTGTGTGTGCTAGTAGCTGAAATTTGCAGGGGTAAAGCTCCAATATTTTGTGCATGGAACAGAAATAATGACTAGGATTTTAGTATGTAAGGTGGAAAGGAAAACATACAGGATAGAAAAATAAAGCTAAAACCATTCACTCTTGAGACTACTAGATACTGAAGTGATATAAACAAGCAATATGAGCAAAGAAGTAATCCTCTGGTGATTATTATGCTAATATGTAGAAAATTGCTCTCCCTGTACCACGCAGATAAAAGTATGAATTCATTTTTCAAGTATGTTAACGATAATCTTTAATGAATTTCTTCTCTAAGCATTTAGATAACTTTGCTGCAAGCTGTTCATACGGTGTCTATTTCTGCTGCTGTTTGACTGAAACAAAGCTGAGTGACCTGCTGCTCTGACATCTTCCTGACGGGCACAGTCTGGGGCTGTGGATGTACAGGGTATTAAGGTCAGTCATGCAGAACAAAGTGTGGCTGGGAGAGCATTGACTTTGAATGTTAATATTCTCTAGCACACTAATCTTGATTACTGTAACCCACCAAGAATGTGGGTGCTTGCCTAAATATAAAAGGGCCTGGATCAGGCCCTAAAACCACTAGGATTAACTAAAGACAAACACAGCATCATGTAGGGCATCTGATAGCAGGTGATGACATTAAAATGCCTAGATCTATAATACCTGGAGATTTAAAACAATGATTCGAATCATCTTAGACCTGTTCATTGTACAAATGCATATTTATTTAGAAGTTCTTGTCAATGTGTAGGGAAAATAGTCCTGAAACAGGTGAATGTGCCATTCAGATCCTTTTTTAATACCTGCAGCACTGATTTTGGGGAACAAGAATAGTGTCTTTATTAAATATTTCAGCCAGGAGCAGCAGTGTTAGTGAAGGTTTCCACAGCAAGTTTTAACTACTAGCTGGCCCAAGTAAGTACAAAATCGCAATGTCCTGATGGCTTTCTTGCAGGGTAGGAACAAGTAGAAACATGCTATCAGAGCTAGTTCACATAAGCCAGTGCTAATTCTGTTCTCTGTTATCTGTAGAGATTTCAATTTGGGCAATTTGGTGCTACATACTGTAGGAAAAACTGTACAGTACACCATTGCTGTGCAAACCCCACTTGAGGAGTGGAAGATGCCTTAAATCTCAGTTATTTTGAAAATGTTACAATCTAACATGTTTCTGCTGTTTGTGAACATGCAAAAGGTGTCATCTAGTAATTCCAGCAAATTGCCCACAAGAATTTGCCCTGTTGGACTTAAGGAATGCATTCATTTTGGTTGGCTTTTCCTAGTTCTTCACCTCTACTATATATGAATTTTGAATGACCAAGGAGTTTGCATGGTGTAAGGACACTCCTCCACCCCCATTCCCCCCGCCCCCCGCCCTTAAATATCCTTTGACTGCATTTAGCAGTTTTCAAGACTTTTACTCACAAATGTAAGATACTCAAGGTGCACTCTCAAGGTGTACACACCTTGTTTAAGAACTGCTGGCTTATTGCCCACCTCTTCAACTACATGTGCAACCAGTTTCCCTGGACGCCAGGCCTGCTTCTCCACAGAGTAGTTTGGAGTCACCTTCAGACTGACAGGTCACCTACCAGCAGTGCTTTTCCCCAGTGCACTTCCCTCCTTCCCTTCTGGTGTAATAGAGTTTTTTCTTCCTGGTACTATTTGATCACATCACCTTTTTCCTGGAAGGCCTGAGTCACTCTTCTGAGCCTTTTTTATTGTCTGCCAAAAGCTTGCAGCAGCTTTAAGCTGCCAAGGTGCTTTGCTCCTGGTGGGCCACTATTTCTTCTCTTCTTCCCACTCAGCCTTGTTCTGTATGCTCAGAAATGTTGGGACAGGGCAGCATGAATGCTACTTTGCTTCTGATCATCTTTAACTTAGCAACAAATTGTCTTCACATTGTGCTAGCCTTCTCAAGATTTTACAAAACTAAGGCTGTGCCCAGGAATAGGTATTAGAGGTGTGAGGGCAAAGGAGTTGCCAACCGCTTTTGATTTGTGTCTCATTAAGTTTCAAAGTGGTACTTGGAAGCAGAGTTAAGGCAAGCATAGAGACTCTGTTTGGCTTAAAGCAAACGTAGAGAGCGCTTGGCTTAAAGAGGTCTGATACATACTGGCAGTGTTGCCAGTGATTTTTAATAGTGCATTAAAAGGAGATCTCTATATTGTTCTTCACTGGATGAAGCAAGTTGGACTTCCTTACACAGGAAGCAAACATTTTGTTTAAGACAAAATAGTTGGAAAAGTAGGCCAGCAGACGTGTTTGTGAAGGGAATGCTCAGTCAATACAAGCAAAGCCTGAGAAGGATGGATTCCTCAGTGGACAGGTTATCACAACTCAGAATGGCAATTCCTGCAGGAAGTTCAGAGGACAGGCATGAGGCAAAGCAGCATGTTCCTTCCTTACTCAGATATTACTTCTCTGTTTCTTTTGATCACTCCACCCTTTTCCAGTGCGGAGTCAAAGAGCAGCCTTGCTATAGAAAACAGCATGGTCAGCATGCCGAGCCAGCAAATTTGTCACCTCAAAGACAGCTCTTGCACAGATTCACTGAATTGGCCTTTCATTGCTGGTAAATCTGAGTGATTTAAATCACTTGCACCAATAAAAGAAACAATAATTATTGTCATGGAGTTCTTAAAGTCTCTTTTTCTAGATGGGGCCTTACAGAACTTGTCTTCAAAATGCACTTTTCAAATGAATTTCAAAGTATTTACTGGAAATTGCAAATTTAAGAATTGGATGATTACTGCTGCTTTTCCCTTGCAGAGATGGATCAATATAGTGTTAAGCTGCACATAAAAGTGCCAGAATTGGTACCAAAAACTATCTTGTGGCAGAAGCACAGGAAAAAATCGGGGACCTGCAATGTAATTCTTTACCTCCTTATAGATTTTTCTCTGGTCTAGATGTTTGTCGTGGTTTAAGCTGTTAGACACGCTCTGGTCAGATCTGTCATTATCTCAACTTTTCCAGCCCCATGTTGGGCGCCAAAAAGAACTGTCGTGGTTTAAGCCCA